CTTTAAATCATGTAGCCCAATTGCTCCCTCCCGTAATACACATAACACTGCCTCAGCTTCCTTAAGTAGCATCGCACCTTATGCAACATTTGTTGGAAAGTAATCTCTGAACAGAATATTGCTATCTCCAAACTATACATGTATCTAATTCTCTCTCACATAAAAAACTAAAGTTGTTTTCTCTATAAGTTTCTGTCCCTTAATCCCATCTATTAAGCTGCATGAAGTTACCAATTCAATCCCAAAGTTTAAGCTAACAGAGAAAGATGGACAATTCACTTATACTTCAATACTCTCTCTCAAGTGTAGGCTCCATCAGGTTTTGAAGTGAAAATAGGAGTAGGCTACAATTGTTTTCTTTTATTCAAATCTGAGCTCGAGGCCTCTACCTATGATATCATATTAAGTTGCATGAATTGGCCAGTTCAACCCAAAAGTTTAACGACAACATATCATATTTGTTGGAAGCCAATCTCGAAAATTTGAAGAAATATCAGTGTCAGCGATACGAGGAATAGGGTCCACTGCCGAACTTGATGCTGCGTCACCAAAGACGTGGCGAGTCAAGGGCATGTGCACGAGCGCCTGCCCCGAGCACTGGGATTGCCCGTCTTGACAAGGGGAGCCCCGCATCAACCCAGGGATCGCCCCCCGAGCACCGCAAGAAATGTGGCTCCCACTCGGGGCACCAAGTGTCGTTCCCAGGCACAGGAAGGATAAAAGGGCCAAGGGTAGGTGCTCGGGGCTCCCTGAGCACCACAAAGCTCTCGGGCGATGGGGTGACCAACCTCTGCTCGGGCACCATCTCCTGCACGATAGGGGCAAGAGTCGGCCCTCTTGGAGCGTCCTCAGCGGTCGGGACAGTCTGAGCTTTCATGGGTGCCCTAAATATAATAAATAAAAAAATTCCCGAGCTCGTGTTAGACCCCAAGCACACTAATTAATAGACAATACAAAAGAAGAGTTGGTTGACTTACGATGTCGTCGGCCTCTTGTACCGCTAGCGGGCGGTTAGGATCTCGTAGCCTTGTAGCCCGAGTTCGTCTTTGTAGACACCTCCTTTTTCTCGCTCATGGGCATGCGCTTGGAGGCGTCCGACCTCTGCTCCTTTGGGTCCCTAAGTGGCGGAGCTTAGGAGCTCCCTTGCCTAGAGCCGTTGCCTAAAGCTAGGCTGTCACCATTGCCTGTCGGCTACGCGGCGGTGATGGCCACGAGGTAGGAGGGGAAGGGTTCCATGTCGCCTTGCCCTTCGGATCTAAGTGGTCCTCACAGATGGAGTGGGTTCCCGAAGTCATCGCAGTGGGCCCTCGTGGGCATCGCAGGCTCCCGGGTTGTCACCGCACCCGTCGCCCTAGCCCTGTCCGTCGATATAATCCCCCTGGAATCGAACTCATGGAGGGTCGACGGATCACGTTGCATTGTGGATTCTTGCAGAGCACAAGACCTGGGCTGGGCAGCGGCTCGCTTGGGCTGAGGTTCCTCGCTAGGCCGACGTGCGTCCGGCTGATGTCTACGTCGCTTGTTCAGGCCGGGTGCCCCCTCTCCTGCAGCGGTGCCAGCCATCGTCGCCGTCAGACCAGCGTGACTGTGCGAGCACTAGCCGCACCTGGTTGATGCCTTCCAGCAGCAGCTCCCACTGCAGTCCAGTTTTTCGCCTACGCTGGCCCGGAAGGGAGCAGTAGCTACTTGTGTAGGTCAATGATGATGTAGCACCACTGGTTGTGCCAGTCGTCCCACTTGCTCTTCGTGTCCTGCGGGATGTACTCATCCCCAAGCTTGTCCTTTAGGCGGATAGTTGCAGCTCGTGGTGGCCTCGATCTGGTCTAAGCCCTTTCTCTTCCCTGCAAACCGCAACACAAAGAAATAGTGAAACAACGCCACTGATAGCATCGCTCTCGCGGAGTTCGGGGAGAGATGGACCAGATAGATCTGGTACACCGTCAGCACCAGTATCGCTGCTATGAAGCTTCTGAAGATTATCGTCTCCTCCGGCCTTGGCTCCAACGGATATGTTGCCGGCCTTGCCATCACCACTCCTTCCTGGCCCTCAGGGACCAGCATCTTCCGCATTCTTGTCTATGCCCTCTTCGTTGAGGGGGCGAGACATCAGAAGGTTTGCTTTGCCGGCTGAGGTGGATGAGGGAAGAGCGGCTCCCTGCGTAGCTGGCATCTCGTCATGGCGGCAGTATGGCATGCAAAGCTGGAAGAAAGAAAGTGAAGGGACTCAAGTTGGAAGAGAAGGCAAAAAGGCATAGGGAGAAATCAAGTCTAAGGGAATGGCTCGTGAAGAACCGAGATTGAGGGCAACGGTTCTTGGTGGTAGAGTACGCCTCCGCACGACGCACAGAAGTCAGAGTGGTTTCCTCAAAGTGCGTGTGTAGTGGGCCGACATCTTCAAAGCACATTCCCCTACTACACGCAGAAGTCGGAGCGGTTCCCTTGAACCACACACAGAGTGAGTCGGCGTCGGCGTTGGCCCATTAAAATTAAGCCTCATCCCTAGTTTCATCCCCTTCAGGATCTTCACCTAATGACAGGGCCGGGGGCTACTGTCAGCGATACGGGGAACATGACCCCCTAAACTGCCGACATGGGACAAACTTGACACTGCGTCACCAAGGACATGGCGAGTCAAGGGCATGTGCACGTGCGCTTGCCCTGAGCACTGTGGCTGTCCGGGTTGACAAGGGGAGACTCGCATCAACCCGGGGGGTTGTCCTCCGAGCACTCGAAGGAACGTGGCTCCCACTCTGGGAGCCAAGTGTTGTTCTTATGCACATGAAGGATAAAAGGGCCAAGGGTACACAAAGCTCTCGGGGCTCCAGCTCCACACCAGAGCCAGCTCCCCAATCTCCGCGCCGTAGTCTCGAAGGTCTATTTAATGAGGGTCTTTCGGCATACCTACTCCATGTCTGCTACAAATGATGATGCCGGAATCCTGGGTAGGTTCCATTCCCTAGTTGACAGGCTTTGTCAACTATCTGTAGTCTTGGGACCCACCTACGTCATGGTGAGACAAATCCCACCAAAGCGTAGCCGGAAATCACCGGCTACAACGACAATCCTCCAACTACCGGCATGGGTCGCCCATGGAGGACACGTGAGCAACAGTACCACCCCGCTTTTTACAATACGGCCATTGTAGTGCTCTGAGTCTATAACGGGAGAATGGGGGCCATAAAAAAGGTTTCGGTCTTTCAATTTCTAGTAGACTCGGTCTCTCGTTGTAATCTTCCATACAATCATTCATACACAAAGAGCAGGATATAGGGTATTACACCTAGAAGGTGGCCCGAACTCGGGTAAACCCATCGTCTTACCTCCTGTTTGTGACTTCATGTAGCTTTTGAATGATTAGCCGCCGATCGAATTCCAAGGGGATCCATCAGGATCACCATTGCCGATGCTTGTTCTCTGACAATCAGTTTCTTAAAAACTATATCATGTATTCTCTCCCATGAATCAATAAAGTTTTAGAAACAAGAGAATGGCTTATATTTTTCGCAGTATTTTATTATAACCATATGTATTATTATTTTGTGAGATTTAAATAATATATTTAATAGTAGACATTAGAATTGGGTAACTCTGTTTGCACTTTTATTCAGAACCAAATTTGGTAGTAAAATGACATATACTGAAGTATGGCCACGCAATTGTGCAAGATATATATTTGGCTACTTTAATTAAAATAAAATATGAAAAATATATTTTGATGTGCAATTCAAAGTTTTGAAGTTGTGATTAGGCAACAGGAGTATGAGGACTGTCAGCTGATTAGTCTTTTTCTTCCGCTGGTATGATGATGATTATACGTTTCTGCAAGCATGGTTTCTCCTGGGTTGGGGGTGGTGTTTTTAAGTAAACATCTATATTTCTGCAAATGATACTATGATGCACAAATGGATGTGTGGTTTGTGTTAAGTTTTTAATTTCCTATTAAATCTACCATGACTATTTCATATATGAGGATTTTAATTGTCCTTAGAAAGGTACCAAGTTTGATACCTAGATATTAAAATTAATTTAGCACTATCTAGATTCTAGAGGTACCAATTTTGGTTCCCTTTATGCTGAAAGTAATGGTGCCTCCAGGTATGTTTCCAAGGCTGATAAAGAAAATGCTTTTCATAATTTTCATAAATATATATATATACACATACAGGTTTTTCCTGATTTAATAAAGAAAATGGTTGTTTCTAAGAGTAATGTTTACATTGTGCTTGGTGAACCAGGTACTTTGTTGTTATTGACGATGTGGACCGTCTAGAAGTGTGTCAGGCTATAAAACGTGAATTCCCTAAAGATGGCCACAGTAGCAGAATAATTGTGACCACAAGCATGCACTCTATTGCGGCTGAATGCAGCTCGGGCAGTCATGTGTATACGATGCAATGTTTGGACAAAGATGAGTCAGAAGAAGTATTCTGGGGATCGGTTGGTCAAGAGAATCAGACGCCAGCCCTACGGCGGGCTTCAGAAGGCATCATCAAGAAATGTGGGGGCTTACCTCTCGCGCTGATCAGCGTAGCCAATTATTTGCGTCGGCGAGGCCAAACCGAGAATCACGTGGCAGGAGGACTCACAACAGAGCACTGCAAAAGTACTGCCTGCACGCTCGGAGACAAGATACTAAAAGGTCATGATGAGTTCTTGGAAATCAATAGAGCTCTTCTCCAGTGCTACAACAACCTTCCAGACCATGACCACCAGAGCTGCTTGCTTTATGCCAGCGTGTTCCCCAGAGGCCGCCCAATTAACATCAATGTTCTGCTTAGAAGATGGATGAGTGAAGAGTTTGCTGCACATGGCACCGTCAGTAATGAAGAAAGTGTCAAAAGTTGTTTAGAGGCCTTCATTGAGCGGTGTATCGTTGAACCAGTAGAGATAAAAAATGCTAGGGTAGCCAGGTGCAAGGTTCACAGCATAATGCTCGAGTTCATCGTCCACAAGGCCGTCTCAAAGAAATTTGTTGCTCTGGTTGACAAGGATGAGCTCGTGTCCAACAATGGTACTATCACCAATGTTCGTGTCCGCCGACTCTCTGTTCAGGATAGCACCAAGGAAGGAGTTGATGATGCTGTGTGTACTGCGAGGGGTATTGACTTATCTGTTGTGAGGTCACTAACAATCTTCGGAAGCCCTCTTCTTGACCTCCAAGACTGCGAGTTACTGCGAGTTCTGGATCTTGAAGGTTGCAAAGGGGTAAACAATGATACTGTTCTCAAAGCCATATGCAAGCAGCGGTTTCTCAAGTATCTCAGCCTGAGGGGCACTGATGTTGACCATCTTCACCAAAAAATAAAGCACCTAGTGCATTTGGAAACACTGGATATTCGAGACACATTGGTGGAAGTCGTGCCCATTGAGGTCATCAGGCTACCACTGTTAGCTCACCTGTTTGGCCGATTTGAGCTACCCCATGGAATCAAAGAAGAAATATCAAAGCAAAGCAAATTGCAGACTCTGGCTGGAGTCGTGGTTACCGAGGCAGACAAAAGTTTTGAAAACATTATACTTCATGCCCGAAAACTGAGGAAGGTTAAGATCTGTCAAGCAACATCATATTCCTCCAACAGCCGCAATAGATGGATGAATCCGCGTAGCAATTCGCCGCTTAAGGAGCGCTTCACCGGTAGCAAAGCTCTCCAGATTCTATCAATTGATTCAAGTGACTTGGCAAAAGAGTTCATAAGGTTCCTACAGGCTCCCTGTGCAATTACATCTATCAAACTACGGGGGCAGCTGGACAGATTACCTGCTACTCCTGCCTTAAGGGAGCTGTGCGATCTAAATAGGCTGCTACTTATCTCAACTGGTTTGAGCATTGAAGACTTATCTGCACTGCAAAGTTTACCTTGCTTGGAATATCTCAAGCTAGCAGAAGATGGGCATGGGTTTCGGGGCAGGAGCTTCGTTGTGAAGAGTGGTGGATTCCCAAGCCTGAGGCGACTGTGCTTCGAAGCCCCAAGGCTCCCACAAGTGAAAATCGAACAAGGATCCATGAAGTCTCTCACCATACTTGACCTACTTTGCCCAGATCCAGTTATTCCAGAGCCTCGTTTGGGAAGACCTTGGTGTTTCCTTCAGCTAGAGACCAGGCTTGGCGTGGAAGGTGTATCGTATCTTGAGAATCTCAAGGAGGTGATCCTCCACCACTCTATGCGGGAGTCAGAAGTGCAAGCTTGGAAAGAGGAAGCCATTAGGCACAACAAGAAGCCATCTGTGAAGAGGCAACCACAACCAACCATCCATGCGGCATAACCATGAATACGTACGTGTTTTTCACCTTAATTTAATTACCTGTCTTTTTAATCTCGTTTGTTCAGTTCAAAGTCCCCTTTGCCTGTCACCTGTCAACCATGAGGCAAGGTGACTCGATGTCACCTTTCCTTTTTGATCTTGCGGTGGATAATCTATCTATCATGTTTGATAGAGTGTTTGAAGGGGGTCTGGTCTGTGGCCTTGCCAAAGATCATAAAGATAATGATGTGTGCATTTTGCAATATGCAGATGACACCATCCTTCTCTTCCAAGATAATTTGGAACAGGCCAAGAATGTTAAAAGAATTCTAAGTCTCTTTGAAATCATGTCAGGCCTGAAAATTAACTTTCATAAGAGTGAAGTGATATGTGTAGGTTTGGAGGAAAATAGAATTAAACTTTTCGAGGACATTCTCACTTGCAAAAGAGGGAACCTTCCGTTTAGATATCTTGGAATTGCAGTGGATGAACACAGACTAAAAAACAGTGACTGGAATCCTTCTATAAATAAAACAGAGAAGAGAATGGGGGGTTGGTTAGGGAGGTTTCTCAATATGGCCGGGAGAATGACCCTGATTAATTCCTCCTTGACTAGCCTGGTCCTCTTCATGCTTTCATTTTATGGCCTACCAAAAGGAGTAAAAAAGAGGTTGGACTGACCCAGAGCTAACTTTTTATGGAGTGGAGAGGAAAACAAGCATAAATATCACTTGGTTGCTTGGGAGAAAGTATGTAGACGAAAAGATCTGGGTGGTTTAGGGATTTTAGACAGGTTAGTAAAAAACAAGGTGACTCGCATTTTTGGCAGGGGCTGCTGAAATGCAAAAACTTGTTCCTAACTTGCTGCAGATTTAAGATAGGTGATGGGAAGAAAACTAGATTTTGGGAAGATGTGTGGATTGGGAAAAAAAATTGTCGGATGCTTTTTCTAATTTGTACAATGTCTCACTCAATCAAAACATTACTGTCTGTGAAGTTATCTCTTCCAACTTGGCCATTCTTCAATTTAGAACACCGCTGGTGGGGGAAAGAGCACCTCAATGGCTAGAGCTGGTGGAAATTTGTAGGCAAGTCAAGTTAAACAATAATAATGATAAGTTGCATTGGATACCTGACGTATCTTTTTTTAAAAGATACCTGACGTATCAGGGGCGTTTAGTGTGAGATCCTTTTATTCTGTTTTACAAGTTGGGGAAAAATGTCCCAACAGCTTCCTATGGAAAGTTAAAATCCCTCCGAAAATCAAAACATTTATCTGGTTAGTTATGAAAAAAGTATACTGACTAGAGATGTTTTGTTATATAGAGAAGGAAAATGTGAAGAGAAATGACTTTTTTGTAATGGAAAAGAATCAATCAACCATTTGTTCTTCCGATGTCTGCTTGCCAGATACACGTGGAATGTGGTCAGTCATTGCACTGGGTTCCAATGTGACTTCGGTGATATGGACACCTGCCTACATGGTTGGCTTGGGGGGTTTGGGTCAGAGAATAAGAAGAAAGTCTTTGTAGGGGTGGCAGCTCTAATATGGAGTATTTGGAAAGCTAGCAATCTAGCGTGTTTTCAACACATTTGGCCTGCTGATCCTAGTGTAATAATGTTCAGAATGTCACATTGGATTAATGAATGGAGTTTTTTGCAGGTGAGGGAGGATGCAAAAGTGGAGTTACAACAGGGCGCAAGGTTGCTGGATCGAGTCAGCAGTGATGTTTTCCAGTCAAGACAGGGTGGGCGAGCTGGGTGCCTAGGCTGAAGAATTGCTGAGATGAGAAATGGAAAATCTATATAATCACAGGGAGGAAAAAGTGGGGGGTTTTTATGTTTCAGGATAGTTTGCGAGTGTGAAACCTGGATTTTACCCATGTAATAAGGTTGACTGGGGAAGAGGGGGTAGTTGCCTGTTCTGTTCCTTTGGCCTATGTACCATGTCAAATCGTACATAGAGCCAGAGGGGGGTATGTGTTCTCGTAGTGCGCATAGTAGTGGTTGAGAGGGAAAGGGGTGTGTTTTGCTTGTATCAAATACTGCATGGTTTCGTTAATGAAATCGGGGAAAGATCCCTTTCTTTCAAAAAAAAATCAAAGTCACCTATAAAAATGTTGAACTTAACCCTGTCGCCTGTGTTTTCAGTTAGCTGTTTAGCTGTAGTTTTCTTCAGTTAGCTATTTCTTCAGTTAAGAATAAGCAGGTCCGTGCCGTGAGCTTGTTCAGGCATGGATCAAGTTAGCTTTCTGTTAGTTGGTTGTTAGCGGCCACAACTGTAATCGTGGGATGGCACGATGTAGCGCAGGGATGGCCGCGTCGTTGAGGCTGTTACCTCTGCCGGCAGTGTATGAATTTATTTGATGCAATCGACAGCACAACTAAACCTATAGCCATGCAATTCTATTATCAAATATCTCAAACGAGCACTAAGGAAGTTGACACAAGCAACAGCAACAAGAATTGTGGTATAATACGCTCACTATGACAGATTTGAGCAACTGGTTCTTGTGAAACCAAACAGGTAAGCAAGAGACCACGCGGGTTAAGCGTCAAAAACAGCCAATTCAGAAGTAAGCCAATGGTGAAATACGATAGTCTGCAGTCGAATTAGCACTCCCTAGGTTAAACATGTCACCTGGAGGTGGCATCTTTCTCCCCTGCTTGGAACGGCGATCTAGCACGCAGAGCGCCTCCCCGGGCTCGGCGACTCTCCGCAAATACATCGAGCGATGAGGGTAGTGAGGAGTCCCCGCCGCCTCCATCGCCGCCAGAGCTAGGGTTTGCTCGGCACATGTCCTATCTTACTAGGCTATGGGCTGCCATTCTGCAATGAAACCTTGCCAATTCATTGACCTTTGGTAGCGTCGCTTTCCTTCCAACAGAAAAATGAGCCCATAACTTCCAACAGAAAAAAAGAGCGGCGCCCATCCATACTTTTGCCTAGTATGCACAGATGTCGTCCAACGACTCCAATCTTCATTTCTCAAAAAAAAAAAAAAACTCCAATCTTCAGCTACCAACCTGTGGTTGAGTTGGTTTGGTGGACAGTGGTATCCCCAACCCATCAGGGTTCAAATCCTGGTGCTCGCATTATTCCTGAATTTATTTCAGGATTTCCGGCGATGCGCTTTCAGTGGGAGGAGACGTTCCCGTCGACGACGAGGCGCCTACGGTGACTTCGTAAATCTCAAGATGATATGCCGGCTCAGTCTCTCGGAGGTGCTCATAGGGATAGGGTATGCGTGTGTGCGTTCATAGGGGTGAGTGTATGCGCGTATATATGAGCGCTTGTGTCTGTACTGATGCTCAAAAAAAAGTCTACAACTAATCGAAAGAGAAGAAAAAAAATCGACGCAATGCACCGTACGAACCAGGAAGTGATACAAAAATGCACTCCAACAAAGACATGCACGTTCATAGGCTTACCTTGCACACTTTTAAATCCCAAGTGCCCCATTCTATATGCCCATGAGGCTGCTATCTTCCTTGCCAGTTCGACATCTGAGTTTCTTAGACAAGTCACGGTCGGCACCTTTTATGGATCGGAGTGAGTAGCTAAATGCACACATTTTCCTCTGGCCCATTTCGGTTGCTAACCAACCTAACCCATGGGTATAAGAGATTCAAACAAAGCACGCAACCTATCACTGATCATTGGGCACTTGGGTAGTGTATACGCAGAGATGTCAATTTCACATGCGACGCCAGGTCGGATCGGATAGTTGACCGACTCACTGCACACAAGCGCTCTCTCGGCGCCGAGAAGGACAAGGAGTGATGTCGAGCACAGTCAGCTCTGTGATGCTACACGCGATTTTCATTGCTCATGACCTCGATCTTATTCTCTACCGGGGACTAGTCATTATCATATCAGCTTCTGCTCTCTTTTCTAAAATAAAAACAGCTTCTGCAGCTGCTTCGCATGGAGTGCACGAGCTTTTAAATCTATGAGGGCGGATCGTCTGCACATTTCCAGATCTTATAAATCCCCGTGTTGTATATGTGAGAGCCTCGGCCCAGTAGGGAGGAGGCATGTAAGCCTGGAAGAGGAGGGTGCGAGTGATGTCGTTGAGTGTGCGAATAGCACGCTCAGCCTTGCCATTTTGAGGAGAAGTGTACGGGCAAGACATACGTAGGTGAATGCCGTTGCGGGCAAGGAACTCGACAAAGGTGGAGTTAACGGACCCAGTGCCATTGTCGGTTTGGAAGGACACGACCGGGAGATTGAATTGTGTGCGTGCGTATGCTACAAAGTTAACGAGGATATCACATGTGTCGGATTTCCGATGGACTGGGAAGGTCCACATAAAATGAGAAAAATCGTCGACAATAACCAAGTAATATTTGAAGCCAGAGTTACTAGCAATAGGTGATGTCCACAAATCGTAATGAAGCAATTGGAACGGAACGACACAAACTGTGGATGATCTAGAAAACGGTAGACGC